GCGGAGCCGGCGGGTGGGCTATGGGCGGTGCGGCACGGCCCGGTCCGCAGCGGCGGCGGCGCACAGCGAGGCGCCCCGCCGGTCGCAGCCTGGTCGGGACCGGAGGCGGGTGCCGGTTCCGCGGCCCACCCGGCGCGGCGCCCGCCGGATCTGAGCGGAGAGGCGGCGAGCGGCCCCTCGGCCCCGCCGGCGCGCACCTGCCCCGCGGCACGCCGGCGCCCGGAGCTCGCCCGCGGAGGAGTCCAGACGCCCAGCAGGCAAGACCCTCCCCTGCGCTGGCCGCCTGCGGTGCGGCAGCGGTGGGCACCGCACGCCGCAGTGTCCGCAGCGGGGCTGCGCTGCCCGAGCATGCGAGCTGCCGCGCCGCTGTACCGCGATGCGGGGTGCGGGCAGCCCTGCCCTGCCCTGCCGTGTGCCGGACCCTCAGCTCCCAGGGGTCTTCGTTCTGTGAGCTTGGCGAATGCACGGAAAYCGTGTCAGCCTTGGCAGTGATTTGCCGCGATCGTAGGCACGGTGTCTCCGGAGCTCGGTGCGCTCCGGTTAACCGGGGGCTGAAGGCGAAGCCCGGGCCGGGGCACGGCGGTGGCGGGGCTGAGGGCCACAGCCCTGCCCGGGACACCTGCCCTGGGCCGCTCCGGCACCGCCTGCAGTGGGCCAGCCGTGCCCGCACAAACGCTGGGGAGCCCAGGCCCTCAGGGAAAGAAGGGGTCATCCTGTACACAGACCCCCACTGTGTCAACACTCTGTGAGGTTGTTAATTATTTAGTAGGTGTGTAGGGCTGTACAGCAATGCTCATGCATTGTTTGTTGTGCTTTGTGTTGCTTATCATTAACCCTGTTCTCTTTTTCATAGCTTAAGAAGTACAGGGAGTATATGCCATAAGAAACCCTTTTATTTCTCCTTCCTCTCACCTCCAGTCTCCTGTGTTTGGTGATGCAGGGGCTGCCTAACCGAGTGGCTGCTGTGCAGTGTAAGCAGTATTACACAATTTTGAAATAGATTTGTCTACCTCAGCGTGCGCCTCTAGCGCAATGGAGATGAGCTGTGGTTTGCTGTGCGGCGTCCTCCGGCGAGCCCCTGGAGAGGGTGGCCCTGTCTGCGCTGCTTATCTCCAGCAGATTTGTCCGTGTGCAGGGTGGTGATTGATGGCACGTTCTGTGCTCACCAGCATCCTTGTATTTCACGTCATTTCATGCCCTTTGCATGCTGGCTTTGTAACACTTTATTTTTTGATATCAGGAATTTATGAATCAAAAGATGGGGGAGTGTGGAGGCTGAGTCAGATTGTGAAAAAGGAAAGCCAAGCGAGAGTGTGCAATTGCATATCACATTTACAAACATCGTTTCATTCATCTCCATATGTTGCTCCTGTTACTACTAATAAAGCTCTGGTTTCTCAGATTGGAGCTGCCCTGGGAACACTGATCTTCCTAGGGTTTTTACCCAGTAGCCTCCATAGTATTTATGTTACACTATGTTATTTTCCTGATTATGTTTTCATTGTATTGAACACGTTAATATCAAAAGGAATTTGATAATATGAATGTACGTCCCACACACTCCCTCTTGTTCCTRTTATTTGATGTGCAAAGGAGTGACAGATTATTTACAGGCAGCAATTTCTTTCCCTCTATATGGTTAAATTTTCTGATTATAATAGGGAAAAAAAAGCTTTTTTTTTTTCCCCCTGAGCACTTAGCCCTATTTCCTTCCTCTTTCTTTCCTCATTTTGCTAATGATAGCCAAATCATCATGGTGATTTTGGAGCTGTGGGAAATTTACCTTTATCTACTGGAAGATTTCCACAGAAGCCTCTATAGGCAAAGGGAGCCAGAGAGGAAGGTGTGCTTTAAGCAGAATGGTGTCTGGGGTTTTCTTCCTCAGCAGGGAGGTACAACTGTGGAATGCACAGTAATTAATTTAATCCAACATTGAGAAAGAAGGAAGAATGATTGTATTGGGAAAGAGGTTTTTTCAAGTATCAGATGGAATACGTAAACAGCAATTTCAATGACCTTTGTGGTTTCTGTTTCAGACAAAAGGCAGCAACCTAGTGCAAGGGTATCATTATCTTCTCCCAGTGTCATCCTTTGTTCTCCTTGAGTTTAGCCTGTCACTTCCTAGGATTTGGCTCTGTCCCTTGCTGGGACAGCAGCACCTCACCCGTGACTCTGAGAGGTGCTGTACTGGCAGGTGATTTTTTTTTTCCACTGCTTGTTTCACATCTCTGCTGTGCAAGGTCTTTTTTTCTTCTTATGAGTCTCTCTTTTCTGAGTCTTATTTATGCTTCAGTGTTTCTGCCTTACCAAACATTGTGCTCATTATTTCTTCCTCTCTGTTTTTTGTCCACTCATGTCTTTTCTCTCATTTTTGTTCCCTTTCATATATCTTCTTTTTACATCTCTTTTTTTCCCCCTCTGTGTCATTCTTTTTATACCCTCACCCGCTCTCTCCTTTCTGAGCTCTCACTTCTGTCCACTGCCTTACTCTACCTTCATCTTGACACTTTTTTCCAAGTTGTTCTTTTGGTTATTATCCTTTTCCTCCCTTACATTTACATATATTTTACTTAAATATTGCAGATAYATGTATACATATATCTCCACATCTTCTACTCTCCAGCTGAAACAAAGAAATTACTCCTGATAATCTGACCCTATTTAATCCCTTTCTTAGCACCTGAAATAAACTGCTCCTGCCCATCCTCAAACATACATATTGGATAGACTGAAGAATTAAATACGTGGGAAATGTTCCTACATTTGTAAGTGTACTTAAGAAAACATCTTACTCAGTCTGCACTGTGAACAGAGCAGATGTTGTGTTCCCACTGACAGTACCAGAGGAGGACTTCAAGCCTCTTGAACTCAAGGACCTAATGACATTCTTTTTACATTTCTCTATTTCAGACTTTTTGTAATGAAAAGACTATAATTTTAAATGAGGAATGCTGCCATGTCTTTAAATTATCCCTTGGATGCTGCACTGACCCARAAATAAGRTTTTTTTWATTTATTTTTTCCCTCCAATTGTTTTGTTTTATACATTTGTTAAGCCACTTTCATGCAGCTATTGGGATAGAAATGCTTTCTCCTCATCAGAGCTAAGCTCTTCCTCTGCAATGGGCTCTGTGTGGGGTGAGACTGGGATCTCAGCTTGTCAGTTTTCCTTTTTTCTGGAGCCAAAGGGAGAGGAGAGAGCTGTGACTGCAGGATCATATGCATTGGGTGGGAGATGGAAGATTTAAATGCATAATCGAAAAATGTTACATTAACCTCAGGGGGTGGGGAGAAGAGTAGTTTAATAATTTTTCCCCTTGACTATCACTGACTACAGACACCGTCATTGGGGATCAAGGGCAAATGTTAGATTTTGCTATTTAAATGAGTCTTAGTTTTAAAAAATACCATTTATTATTTAAACTACTTTTTTGTTCAAAGAGCTTACTACTGACTGGCTGGAATGAAAACAGCTCCATCCCACGGATTCCACCTCTGCTTTCTGGCAGCTTACCTGACTCATAAAGAGAGTGGGGGGATTTATATGCCACCTACATCAACTCAACATTTTCCTTTGTGGTGAGACTTAATCACCACCCTTGTCATATTATTTTATCGACCCTTTTGGAGTAGGAATTCTTTACCTTTCAAGCCAACCTTAAAAGTTCTTATAAAATAGGGTGAGGGTTTTTTTTTTCTGAATTTGGTGATAGTACATAKGTGGTCCAATGCAGTAAGGTTTTCTGTGTTATCTGTTGAAAAATAGTCTTTACCCGAGGCTCATGGAAGAGAGTTTCCATTTGCAGAGAACACA